GGGAAACATCAGCTTTCCTGCTCCTCTGATGCTGCCTGGCCTGCTGTGTTCCTCCAGCTTCACACTGTGTTATGCAACACCAAATCTGGTGTCTTAAAGGCATATACATCATTGCGTTTTAAACAGGATCTCATCTTTCTCTTCCTAATAAAGGAGAGAGCAGTTAAGTCAGGAGAAGCATCATATCATTGTGATATCATGTACAAGTGACACACTGACTTTGTCACCAATCACTTGGACACAAAGCATCATCACATTTTGTTAGAGACTGGTTAGAATATGGCAAGCAATATCTCAGGTACAACAAATTGGTGATGCTAAGATGCCAAAGCCTATAACAGCTTTCACTGTTAGAGAGGTACAATTGGTGATCTATAGCTTAAGGATAACCATTCTGCAAATGGGGGCTAAGGTGGCCTCACATCTGGTATGGGTATTGAAACAAACACACGGAATGCTGGAGAAACCCAACAGATCTGGCAACATCTGCGGAGAGAAATCAAGGTTAATGTTTCGGGTCCAGTGACCCTTCAGAAGAAGAAAACCTTTCTGTTCTGAAGAAGGATCACTGGACCTGAAACATTAACTCAGATTTCTCTTCACAGATGCTGCCAGACCTGCTGAGGTTTCCAGCAATTTCTGTTTGACTTAATGTTCTGAGAAGCTGGGTTTGAATCTTGTCAAGGCATGGTGGAATTTGAATTCAATTTAGAAAAATATTTATAATTAAGGATACACCAATGACCATGAAATAGTTGATGGGGGGAAAACCCATCTAGTTCACTAATGCCCTTTAGGGAGTGAAGTCTGCCACCCTTATCTGGTCTAGCTTAAATGTGACTTCAGACCCACAACAACATGGTTGACTCTCAATTGCCTTCTGAAATGGCCTTAAACCTATCAATTGGTACAAAGTCTCAACAAAGAAATGAAACCAGACAAAGTATCAATGTAGGCACCGGCAAAGGCAATGGCAGAAACAGCCCTGTTGATCCTGCAAAGTCCTCCTCACTAACATCTGGGGGTCTAGTGCAAAAATTGGGAGAGCTGTCTCACAGACTAATCAAGCAATAGCCTGACATAGTTAAACTCACAGAGTCATACCTTATAGACAATGTCCCAGACACCATCCCTGGATATGTCCTGCCCCACTGGGAGGACAAACCCAGCAGAGGTGACAGCATAGCAGTTAGGAGGGATTTGCCCTGGAAGCCCTCAACATTGACCCCAGATCTCACGAAGTCTCATGGCTTTAGGTTAAACATGAGCAAAGAAACTGTCCCCTTGGCTGATGAATTAGTACTGCTTCATGTTGAACAACAGTTGGAGGAATCACTGAGGATGGCAAGGCCACAAAATGTACTCTGGGTGGAGCGTCCACTACCAAGAGTGGCTTGGCAGTAGCACCACAGATCACGGTGGTCAGGTCCTAAAGGACATTACTGCTAGACTGGGTCTGCGGCAGGTGGTGAGGGAACCAACAGGAGGGGAAATGATACTTGCTTTTATCTTCACCAATATGCCAGCTGCAATTGCGTCTTTCCATGACACTATCAATAAAAATGACCACTGCACAGTCCTTGCGGACATCAAATCCTGCCTTCACACTGAGAATAACTTCCATCATGTTGTGTGGCACTATCACTGTGCTAAACGGGTCAGACTTTGAACACATCTATCAACTCAAGACTGGGCATCCATGAGGTGCTGCGGGCCATCAACAGTAGCAGAATTGTACTCCAGCACAATTTGCAACTTTCTGGTTCAGCATATCCCCCACTCAACTATTACCATCAAGCCAGTGGATCAACCCTGGTTTAATGGAGAGTGCAGGAGAGCATGCCACGAGCAGCACCAGGCAGACCTAAAAATAAGGGGTCAACCTGGTGAAGCTGCCAAACAGGACTACTTGCGTGCTAAACAGTATAAGCAACAAACGATTGACAGATCCCACTAAATGATCCCACAACCAATATCAAATTCACAGGAATCTTCAGCCAGAAGTGCCGAGTGAATGATCCATGTTGGCCTCTACCAGTGGTCCCCAGCATCACAGACACCAGTCTTCAGCCAAATCAATTCAGTCTGTTTGATATTAGGAAACAGTTGGAGATACTGGATACTGCAAAGACTAGGGGCCCTGACAACGTTCTGGCAATAGTACTGAAGACTTGTGCTCCAGAACTTGCCACTTCCCTAGCCAAGCTGTGCCAGTACAGTTACAACACTGGCATTTACCCAACAGTGTGGAAACCTTCCTAAGTATGTCCTGTACACAAAAAGCAAGACAAATCCAACCCAGCCAATTACCGCTCCGTCAGTCTCCTCTCGATCATCAGTAAAGTGATGGAAGGTGTCAGTAACGTTGCTATCAAGCAGCACCTGCTCAGCAATAACCTGCTCAGCGATGCCCCGTTTGGATTGCACCAGGGCCACTCAGCTCCTGACCTCATTACAGCCTTGGTTCAAATATGGACAAAAGATCTGAATTTCAGAGGTGAGGTGAGAGTGACAGCCCTTGACATCAAGGCTACATTTGACAAAGTAAGGCAACAAGGAGCCCTGGCAACTCTGGAATCAATAGGTGATGGGGGCAAACTCTCTGATGGTTGGAGTCATACCTTACACATAGGAAGATGGCTGTGGTTGTTGGAAGTTGGTCATCTCAGCTCCAAGACATCTCTGCAGGCGTTCCTCAGTGACCATCTTCAGCTGCTTTATCAATAACCTTCCTTCCATCCTAAGGTCAGAAGTGGGGATGTTCACTGATAATTGCATAATATTCAGCACCATTCATGATTTCTCAGATACTGAAGGGTCCGTGTTGAAATGCAACAAGATCTGGAGAATATCCAGGCATGCGCTGACAAGTGGCAAGTAACATTTGTGCCACATAAATGCCAGGCAATGACCATCTCCAATAAAAGACAATATAACTACCTCCCCTTGACATTCAATGGTGTTACCATCACTGAATCCCCCACTATCAACATCCTTGGGGTTACCATTGGCCAGAAACTCAACTGGACTTGCCACATAAACACAGTGGCTACAAGGGCAGGTCAGAGGCAAGGAATAATGCAGCAAGTAATTCACCTCCTAACTTCCCAGTTTGTCTACCATCTACATGGCACAAGTCATGAGTGTGATGGAATATTCCTCACTTGCCTGGATGAGTGCAGCTTCAACAACTCTTGAGAAGCTTGAGACCAAGCAGGACAAAGCAGCCCGCTTGATTAACACCACTTCCACAATCATCCACTCCCTCCACCTCTGACACTCAGTCACAGAAATATGTACTAACTACAAGATGTACTGCAGAAGTTCACCAAAGATCCTTATACAGCATCTTCCAAACTCATGACCACTTCCATCTAGAAGGACAAGGGTAGCAGACACATGGAAATGCCACACCTGCAAGTCCCTGTCCCAGCCACTCACCATCCTGACTTGGAAACATATCAATCACTATTCCTTCAATGCTGCTTGGTCAAAATCCTGGAATTCCCTCCCTAAGGGCATTTTCAGCCAACCTACAGCACATAGATGGTAGCAGATCCAGAAGGCAGCTCACCACCACCTTCTCAAGGGCAACTAGGGATGAACAATAAATGCTAGCCCAGCCAGCAACGTTGACGTCCTATGAGTAAATAAAAAAACTCCATGTTTTCACATTTGTAGCACAGCAACCTCCCCACATTAAGAGATTCCTCATTCCATAGCACTATCCCACACACATGCACACACACCTGTCAGCCATTGAAAACAATCTGTCCCATTCCTTCATAATAATTAACATTTCTGCCCACAACTTTTCAATCTCGCTGTTTGAGCGAAGGAACCCTGGTATTCCAAGCCTTTCATTATATTTTAAATTCCTCATCCTGAGCCTTGTGCACGGGAATCTGCCCAGTGCAGAATTTGTCTAATAAATACCAATGATTGATAAGCAAGTGGTTAGAAGTAAAACTGTGAGATCAGTCTGATGTTAGACTACATACACAAGTCAGATGTTCTCTGCTCCAGTTCAAATTAACTTATCATTTTGGTTTTATCAAACACCCAAGTTTCACTTTGCTGTGTAATAATTATGTTGCTCAGTTCAATTTATTAGATAATTCAATCTCTGTTATGTTGAATTGGTAGGAGCTGCCTGTTCCACATTTGAATCTAATAATGAACAAATGATTTTTCAAAGAGGAACATTTTTGCAAATCTTCTTTTGCATAGTCATAAGGCTTAGCTCTGATATGATAATGTTGTGGTCCATTGGGAGATGAGTGCTGCTCTGGAATCTTGCTTTCTATAGTTGTGTGAAAAGTTGCGATAGAGAGGAAAGAGACTTAATGGGAAAAAGCCAAGAAGATTGAAAATTTGACATAAATGGGACAAACTAGGAGTGAATCAAATGTAAGAAAGGCTCAACTTGGGAATGAGTCATTTAGTGAACACAAGTAAAGCCAATAAACAGTGGGCATCTGTGGATTAACCAGCTTTCAA